TGGATTGTTATCATGGTATGGGGCGTCGCAGGTCGACCCAGCCTAAAATGGGTACCAGGAAGGCTGTCCTGGGGAGTAAAGACGGCCGGCGTAATGCTGACCACATTACCCATCCAGTGCCGATTGGTCTGTACAAATATGGGTGCCCTTCCCATATGCCCGATGCCCCTAATGCGTGAAAAAGAATCTTTACTTTGTTTTAAGCAAAACTCGAAAACCTAATTAATGTTCCCAATCTTTCCATGATTTCCAGGAAGATAATAATACAGCCATGTAGCTTTTTTGGATGAGGAGAACCGTGTACTTAATAAGACGTCATGATGTTGAGAATCAGATGTATGCTTGCGACCGTCCTCGTTTCACAAGTCACAATCTTTCGTTACTACACACTACAACATTCAACATTCACACCTGTACAGTGGAAAACTAGGAAGAGTTTTAAACCAAAGATTGACCATAGGAATTCTGATGTAAGTAAATCAACGATATTGACAATCTTGCTAAGCTCGACCAGGGATGTGATTGAAAGGAATGTTGATTCTGCAAAGAAATTGATGAATAAAACGGTGTTTAGCGAGCGATACGTGCAGCTGGTTGGTGTGAAAGGGAGTGTGGACTCAAGGACAAGTCAACAGATAAGACCAGCCGGCGATCAGCAACTCCCTACTCGGATATCAAGCTTGTAAGCCTGCCTTTCTTTCTTTCTTTCTTTCTTTCTTTCTTTCTTTCTTTCTTTCTTTCTTTCTTTCTTTCTTTCTTTCTTTCTTTCTTTCCTTTCGTCTTTTTCTTTCTTTTTCTTTCTTTCTTTCTTTCGTTCTTTCTTTCTTTCTTTCTTTCTTTCTTCTTTCTTTCTTTCTTTCTTTCTTTCTTTCTTTCTTTCTTTCTTTCTTTCTTTTCTTTCTTTCTTTCTTTCTTTCTTTCTTTCTTTTTCTTTCTTTCTTTCTTTCTTTCTTTCTTTCTTTCTTTTCTTTCTTTTTCTTTCTTCTTTCTTTTCTTTCTTTCTTTCTTTCTTTCTTTCTTTCTTTTTCTTTCTTTTCTTTCTTTCTTTCTTTCTTTTCTTTTCTTTTTCTTCTTTCTTTTCTTTCTTTCTTTCTTTCTTTCTTTCTTTCTTTCTTTCTTCTTTCTTTCTTTCTTCTTTCTTTCTTTCTTTCTTTCTTTCTTTCTTTCTAATTCTTTCTTCAATCTTTCTTTATTTCTTTCTTTTCTCTTTTCTTTGTTTGTTTGTTTGTTTTTTTGTTTCTTTTCTCTTTCTTTCTTTCTTTCTTTCTTTCTTTCTTTCTTTCTTTCTTTCTTTCTTCTTTCTTCTTTCTTTCCTTCTTTCTTTCTTTCTCTTTCTTTTCTTTCTTTTCTTTCTTTCTTTCTTTTCTTTCTTTCTTTCTTTCTTTCTTTCTTTCTTTCTTTCTTTCTTTCTTTCTTTTCTTAAAAAGTAGCCCTTCCTTTATCAGGCGGGTGCTACTTTTACTGATGATTAATTTCCCTCTTTTCTGAGTTGGCATATTGTTTCGTGGCTTACAGGTAGGATGCGATATCTGCACCGTTTTGTCTTACAATCAGATTTCAAAAAAAAATATGATTAGTTGTCTTTTACGTCATGCTTGTTAGGGGGCATTAGCTTTATTACGCATACGCGCACGCACAGTTTTTTTTTTTTTTGGGGGGGGTTGGGTTATTAAAGGCAGTTAGCGATGGTAAGATATATAGGACAAGCAGGGCTACCAATTTTCTGTCCGCAACCGGCTCATTTTTTTTAAAGAAACTTTCTGATAAGTACATGCTTCTGTTTTACATGTGAGAAAAACAGCTTCATTTAAGTCGGAGTATATCTGCCGGCGAGGCAGGAAAGTGCGAATAAGCTAGTAAAGCGGAGGTGAACGCAAAACTCAGGTCCAGCTAAAAGCCAGAAGTCTAAATGGACCAATTATCTAGACCTTTCGCCGGAATTCACAGCCGGTCAACGAAAACGAAGAAAAAAAACAGCACTAGGGACAAAAGACAATGTAATCGTATATTTCAGTTGCAATAAACCATCGATAACTCTTTCATTATATTCCCCTCCCCGTCCTTTTTTACCCCTTTCGGTCTGCTAACTAAATGTTAAATAATTGCAAATCTAACCAAAGTATTTGAGGATCCTTGCCGGTGCTACAGAGCCTGTGCACTGTGCTGAGCTTCTTCGGACTCAGACTTGAGTAAGAAAATGAACAGAGAACTTATGGGTTACTGCCCGTGTGCCATGATGTTGATCCGTTGTTTAAACCTCAAATCTGAAACCTTAACTAAATGTTTACCCTACCATCCTGTTACTAAACAATCTCAAACTGAACGGCAGGCCAACAAGGTAGATCTCCAGCACCCCCTTTCAACCTCCACAAAAGTTATAATAAAGGCAAACACGTCACAGCTACAATAGCCAGATGGAACATGCAGTCCTGTGTTTCTAATAGCTAAAATGATTCGTGTTTTATGCTGCATTGTATTTGAACAAAGAAGACACAAACAGTATTTTGCACAATTTATTGGCTTGGCATATTTCGCGTTATCTCGTTAGGTGCATACTACAGTAACAATTTAATTTTTAAAAAAGCACATAAACTTCAGCCAACCGTATATTACTGAGATTTGTGGAAGCGACCGCGATAAACCGGTTTAGTGTAGAATTATGAAGACAAAAGGCCATGCTCTTTACCTTGCTTACAGTTCTTCTACACAAGGTAGAGCCAACCGACCTTTTCAGGTCCCATCTGACATACATGCACACTGTATCTTCAACATTTAACATTTCACCAATTTCCGAACACATTAATTCAAACAGGTTAGATACAGAAGGTACAGGCAGCCGACCTTTTCAGCAAATCAACAACAGGAGCGCCTGGACGTACAGTGCCCACTTTGACCACATAGCCTCCCAGCAAGGAAGGCCCGCGGTTCGTGTCATTGGCATTGTCCACAAGGAACAGTTCCAGAACATCTATTGCATCTTCAGCACGGGAACCAGTCACATTCTCCAACGAAAGGGAATCATCGAGGGTCTCCCAGAAGCTCACGGCAAGAAGTAAGCTTTTTTTACCAACAGTCTGTAGAAACTAATTTTGATTTGTAAAACAGACGTGCACGCATAACTTTTAAAAACGTTTTGAAAACCAACAAAGTCCAGAAGTGGGCGAAAAATCAAGATTTTTCGCCGGAGTTTACAACCGGTGAAGGTTAAGAAGAAGAAGAGGAAGAAGAAGAAGAAGAAGAAGAAGAAGAAGAAGAAGAAGAAGAAGAAGAAGAAGAAGAAGAAGAAGAAGAAGAAGAAGAAGAAGAAGAAGAAGAAGAAGAAGAAGAGAAGAAGAAGAAGAAGAAGAAGAAGAAGAAGAAGAAGAAAAAAAAAGTAGAAGAAGAAGAAGAAGAAGGAAAAGAAAAAGAAGAAGAGGAGGAGGAGGAAGAAGAAGAAGAAGAGGAACAAGAAGAAGAAAAAGAAAAAGAAAAAGAAGAAGAAGAAGAAGATGAAGAAGAAGAAGAAGAAGAAGAAGAAGAAGAAGAAGAAGAAGAAGAAGAAGAGAAGAAGAAGAAGAAGAAGAAGAAGAAGAAGAAGAAGAAGATCTCATATAGAAAAGATACGGCTAGCCTCCTGCCGAGAGCAACACCTAAAACACGTACTCCTTAGCTCCCGCTACAACCCCTCCTCCCTCCTCCTCCTCGGGGTATCTTCGTGAAAACTACGCTTGCGAACGGAACGACGCAGTTCTGTGAAACCTACGACATCAAGCGCGTAGGGCAGACGTCACATTTAAGATAGATCTATGTGCACAATTTGTGTCGGCTCTGTGCCTAAGTCGATGCGAACGCTTCGTAATGCCGGGATGCCGATTTCGATCCCAGCTGCGGACCATGCCCCTTGCGTTGGTTATGACAGTGGTATCAAGAAAGCTGACCGTACATGAAGCAATGGCAAACTACTGGACGTAAATTTGCCTAGAAAAACTACACAACAGCCAGGGGCTGTTGGGGTTGGTTCTGCAATGTCCTGTAAAGGATAGGCTACTAACTAAGCACAATTTGTGGGGTTTTACAAATAAATCAGTTTGTGCGTTCATTTTTACTGGGAACACTGTTACAAACTGCCCATTTCTTCTTCTTTTCATTTTCTCTACTCCTGGGATGCCTGGTGGCGTCAGGACAGGAAGAGATATCTGGAACAGGTCCTTCTGTACTCTAGACATGGAATGCCTCATGCCTCAGGACAGGAAGAGATCTCTGGATTGGGCCCTTTTGTTTGATTCGTATAAATTACTTTTCAGTGTCTGATATTTCTGCGATTCATCTTTTGCATGGTCAACTTGTGGCTGTGTTACCGCTGTATCTGTCTAACACTGTTCTCTGTGGTGCTCTGTCTGATGCCAATCTTTTTACCTGACCAAACGATTTGATATGTTAACAATAAAGTTCAGTATTGGTTCTGTGCCGACTCTCTTCCTGATATCATCGTTCTTTTGTCGATATTTCCTCGTTACACCTAGCATATTACGCAAACATTGAATTTCTGTGGTGACTATTTTCCTTCTATCTTCTGAAGAAAGTGCCCATGTTTGACATTAATAGCAAAGCGTGGATAAAAATGCTGTGTTTAAAAATGTTCATTTAATGTTCCTATTTATATGCTTGCATTTCCAAATTGGTGCCGTTTGTCCTAAAACTTGATTGAGTTTATTGCATTCTTGCTGAATTTCTTTATTATTTCTTCTGTCTTCTGACAAAATGCACCCAGGGTATGGATATTTGCCAAATTAGTATGTTATATTTCTTTTCACACCAGACACAAAGCATCTTTCCTACAATGCAGCCTGCCGGTAAATGTGCGACCCACGCATGTCTCCATCAGCTTTCAGCGTGATAAAACAGCAACCAATCGAGTCCAGATCATCTACCCGGGAACTCTCATCCGAAACTTCACCGTCTGCTACTCCGTTCTACACAGCGGCTACAACTTATCGTCCCAGCTCATCCAGTCTCTAGAAATGAACCAGATACTTGGCGCCGAGCACTTCGTGGTGTACAACTACAGCATCTCCCCGGCTGTTGACCAGATTCTCCAGCGCTACCAGCAGGATGGTCTGGTCACTGTTCTCCCATGGCCTCTTCCAACCCTGGATGTCCATTACTATGGACAAATGGCTGCATTGAATGACTGTATTTACCGAAACCGCAACATCTCTAGATTTGTGGTTGTTGTCGATACTGACGAGCTTATTATTCCACGGGAAAGTCTTACCTGGATGGAGCTGATTGATACCGTGTCACCTCAAGAACGTGACGTTTCGGCTTTGAGGCATCCATCAGGCTCATCAAAAAACTGGCTTAAAGCAACCGGAAGTTTTGAATTTAGGTCAGGTTCCTTTGTTGTTGTCGGGACGCCAAGCTGGACAGCACTTCCTTCAGAGTTAGAATTTTCTGAGGAAGAAAAGAATAACCTTTTGAAATACAAAATCCACACACTAACCCAGTTACAACGCGCTAGAAAAGTACTTCCACGAAAACACAGGACGAAATATATAGCTCGACCCGAGCTTGTGAATATCTCCGGAATTCATTTTGTGCATTCATTCATGAGTAACGTTAGTTCTCTTGATGTCAGAGAGAACTTTGCTCTTGTTCATCATTATCAGAAGCTTGACTTTGCAGATACTGTCATGGACACGAATATCCTCAAGTTTAAGGATCAGTTATTTCCACGGCTCCTGCAACAGTACAGGCGGTTTTCCAATCTGATTTGGTGACTCAAGTTTGCTCGTTTTTTAAATGACAAGATCTTCCGTTAGGTTTGCTTATGCCGATCGTATTGATTTCAATGTGGCTGCGTAGTCTCGGGGCATGGTGTCCACCCCGAGTGCTAGAGGTTCCTGGTTCAATCACCCGGTAAGGGCTGTGATTTTTTCACGTGGACTTGGACGTCTAGCAATTACCCCTAGTCTCTGGTTAGTGAGATGGACGCTTGTGTGCATTGTTAGTTGTTAGCAAGTATAAAAACCCTTTGGTAGTTGGGAATCGAAAAGAGTAGCCTAACTGCGCTGCCCAGGCAACAACAACAAAATGTGGAGTTAAAAATTTACCCAAAGTATTTCAGAATCCCCGCCGGTGCTACAGAGCCTGTGCACGGTGCTGAGCTTTTTCGGACTCAAACTTGAGTTAGAAGAAAAACGAAGCACTTATGGGTTACTACCCATGTGCCATGATGATAATCCGTTGTTCAAACCTCAAATCTCATACCTATTGATTTCAAGCGCGTTATTGTTTGGCTTGACCAAGTGTGTGGTTCAACAAAGACTAGCTTCCTCATCAGTATATTATTTCAAAGATCAACTTTACCTTCAGACGGAAAATACAAACGTCCATTATACAACAGAAATTAAACAATAACGACCATTCTTCATGACGGGCGAACACACACAATCAGCGCTGCCTGACGGCTTCCGTCAGTTCTTGCTGGTGGCCAGGTAGAGCGTTAGAAACTTCACAGACACATCAGAGGCATACTTGATACATATACTTCTCCGCTCTACAGGCGTACAGTTTCGTGTCCGAAAGAGACTGTCCACTTGCTCTTTCTTATGCATTATAAAATCTTCTGCCGCCCACATTATAATTACGCCCACGTAAGACTTTCTCGTGTTCTCCAATTCATTTGGTCAACATTTTCCCCGTGCATCTCGGCTTTGTACTTGTTACATTCAAATATCAGGGAGAAAATGGTTCACTACATCTGCCATCATTTATCTATAATGTTTCCAAAATGTAACGCCCCCTGCCCCGCAGACGCCCCTGGGTCAGCAGACAACTAGTAACCCGCCCTTTTTGGTTAGCTAGCGAAAGTTGCGTCGTTACGTAAGCAACATGGAGCCAAGGGTAAACATTTTTTTTTAAACTTCAGGCTCGAAGAAATACTGCTGAGACCGTTAACTTGATGGGATAAGTTTATAAGGATCAATGTTTAGGAAATTGAACATCATATTCAGCATCCGACAACTCACCGTAAGACATCAATATTCGCTTCTCTGTTCAATGACTTTGGCAATAGGTTTGTCGTTAAGAAGTTTGAAGTTTGAACAACGGATCATCATCATGGCACACCGGTAGTAACCCATAAGTGCTCCATTCTTCTTCTAACTCAAGTCTCAGTCCGAAAAAGCTCTGCACAGTGTGCACAAACTCTGTAGCACCTGCGAGGATCCTGAAATATTTTGCGTTGATTTTAATCTTTAAATTTTGCCCGCGCCGCCCCGTTAGGCGTCTCTTTTGCGATTTCCAACGGCCCAATGATTTTTTTTTACGTGCACAACAATGCACACGGGCGTCCGATCTTAACCAGAGACCAGGTGGAGTTATTAGAAGGCCAAGACCGCGTGAAAAAATCCCAGCACTTACCGGGATTGAACCAAGAACCTCTAGCACGAGGCGGACACCGTACATCGAGACCACGCAGACCACCCTTGTGTATTTATATGCTCATGTTAGTATTTGTTTATGTGTGCAGTCTGACAATCAAAAATAAGATTAATTTCATTATGCTCAAAATTAAAGCGCTATGAATAAAGCAAAGCGTTGCATAGAAACTGGCATAATTTATCTAAAAGGTTCCCAAATTATTACGCCATCTGCTCTGCAGACGCCGCTCAGTCAGAAGATGACTAGTCATCATCATCATGTGCCCTGCCAAGTGGCGTAGGCTCTCATGCATCTCCACAGAGCACGATCCCTGGTTGCCTGGAACACCTCTCTTAATGATAACCCCTCTATGCCATCGTTTCAGCTCATCCAGCATCTTCACTCTTGGTTTGTCTCTACCCCCTTGTCCACTGATCTTTCAAGTTGTCACGATGTTCTTCGATGTCTCTCTTTTCGTTAAAAGACCAAAGAACAGTGTTTGTCTTTTTCTTATTGTTGTAAAAAGAAATTTACTTTCACTAGATGACTAGTACCCGACATTGTTGCTTAGCTAGATAAACTCAAGGGGTCTGGACCCTAGGTTGCGGCGCCGCTACCCTCGTTATTGTTCATTATTGTGTAAGTATGTGGGTGTATTTAGGTATGTATGTATGTATGTATGTATGTATGTATGTAGTATGACTATGTATGATATAGTATGTATGTATGTATGTATGTATGCATGATGTATGTATGTATGTATGTTATGTATGTATGTAGGTATGTATGTAGTATGGATGTATGATGTATGTATGTATGTAGTATGTAATGTATGTATGATGTAGTATGTATGTA